GACTCGATCCAGGGACTCCAGGATCATGACCTGAGCCGAAGGCAGTCGCTTAACCAACTGAGCCACCCAGGCGCCCTCACAATGAATTTTTTTAAAGAAAAAATAGTTTCTAGCTCTGGATACTTTAAAAGGCCTAGAAGCTATTACAATCCAATTAAATTCATACCCCTGGCAACCAAAATGTGTTCTCTAAATACTAGGGCTCTTAGGAGAGATGGTGGATAGTGGAAATAAGTCTGGAAATAAGACAAGCCTGGAATATCGTGTAATGCCTGGAAGCAAGGGAGCAATCAGAAACTGCCGGAGTCGCATCAGAATGACATAGTCAGTTTTGAAGGAGTTTCTATTGGCCAAGATGGGGTAATTTGAGCATCAAAAATAATGACTACAACAGAGTGAAATGCATCAAATACATAAAAACTGTCAGTTTTTAATGATTTTTTTAAATAAAAACCTAATTGGTCACTAGAGAGGATGCTAAAACAGTGACTCATTACTCTGAAAATTGATAAAGAAAATGCATCAAGCATTTCTTTTTCCTGTCCTGTAACTATGATTCAGGCCATGATTCAGAGTAATTTAATAATTGAAGGAATAACATTGTTCTTTATAGGAAAATCATAGTTTATAAATGCAAGGAAAATTATTGAAATAGAAAAATCACCATTTCGCAAATAGTGGATCTAGACCTGTGGTTTCCAACTGGGAGTGGATTTTGCCCCTCCCCCCACATGGGACAAATGTCTGGAGACATTTTTGATTGTCACAAATTAGAGGAGGTGGGCCATCCACTACTGGCATCTAGTGGGTGAGGACCACAGGCCCTGTTAAACATCCTACGGTGCAAAGGACAGCTGTGTACAACAAAGAGAGTTATCTGACCCAAATGTTAATTGTGCCAAGATTGAGAAACCCTGATCTAAGCAATAATTATCAGCAGCTGCAAAAACTGGTAAAAAGGTTGATAGTGAAGTTAATGATGAATGTAGTAAACTGATAACACCTCACCTAAACCCAGTCCCCTAATCTTAAAGGAAAAACTGGCATTATGTGCCTCTTGCATATACAATATTGCAAGTACATGATATATTCCTATGATATATGCTATCCCAAGTAGTTCAGCCTGCATCTGTTAAGCTTCTAGATCTAACTGCCAGTTCATAGGAAATAGGAGAGAGAGAGGACAGGTTAAAGGATCCTATCAGGAAGCAAGCAGCCCAATCCAGAATGTAGAAAGGAGATTTTACAAGGCAAATGACCCAGTTTCTTCAACAAATAAATGGCATGAAGGAATAAAAAGAAAGGAAGATTCGATGGGAACCGTTAAGGATTTGAGCAACATTTGACCAAGTGCAGTGTGTGGGTCTTGGCTTAAAAAATGAAATGTAAAATGGGGCACCTGTGTGGCTCAGTTGTTAAGCGTCTGCCTTCGGCTCAGGTCATGATCCCAGGGTCCTGGGATCGAGCCCCGCATC